AACATTGGGGTCCACAACCACCAGGGACCACCAGAGAGACCTCCAGGACACCAGAATGCATGGGTAAAGGGGAAGGGAAATATGTTACTGATTTTGGGGAAACCATTATCATATTTATGTTTAGTCTGGGAAAATCAATGAATATGTGTGCAAAATACAGAAAATTAACAAAAATTTTCCTGTTCTCAGCATGCACAGCTTTGGGAGGAGCTACCCCCCATGCATCCAGCTGAATAAAGAATACTGCTTCTCAATGCTACAGTGGTGTTAAGGATTTTTCTGTTTTACCAAATTTTTGGTAACACTCCCACTGCCAAGGAAAGCTCTGTCTCCTGCTGTTCACAAACAGAGAAGGGCTGGTGGCAGATGTGGGGGTTGGAGGCAGCCTGGGGCACAGTGATCATGAAATAATCAAGTGTTCAATGTTCTGGGAAAGAAGGAGGGGCAGCAACAAAACTTCTGCACTGGAATTTGGAAGGGCAGACTGTGGCCTATTTAGGATGCTGATTTGGGGAGCACCAAATCAGGTACTGATTGTTTTAAGGGAAACATCCCTTAAAAACAAGGGGGTCAGGAAGAATAGACACATTTTAAGAAAGCAATCTTAAGGGGGAAGGAGCAGCCTTTCTCATTGTGCCAAAACATGATCTAGTAAGGAAAAGGACTGTCCTGGCTTCCCATCAGCCTTTCTGGGAACTCAGGAGAAGAAAGGACCAGAATTGCAGGAAGTGTATAAGGATGTCATTAGGTTATGAAGAAAGTGAAGTTGAGAGGTGAAAGCTCCATTAGAATTTAACCTGGAGGCATGTCTAAAAAGAATAAAAAATGTTTTTATTAAAAAATTTATAGCAACGGAAGGGAGAAGGAGGGAGAATAAAGTAACTGAGAATAAGTAAAAGACAAAGCTACTTAATATCTTGTTTGTCAATTTTCAGTATTTGGACAGGTTGCCCTCAGGACAAATGTTCTCCTGAGCTGGCAGATGGGCACAGGGAGCAGAACAGGCCCCTGTAATCCAGAAGGAAGCAGTTGGTGACCTGGTGAGCCACTCAGATGCTCACAGGTGTCACTGGGAGCAGATCGGATCCATCCCAGGGGGATGAGAGAGCTGTGGATGAGCTCCCCAAGCTACCCTCCATCATTTACCATCAGTGCTGGCTCAGCAGGGAGGTCCCAGAGCACTGGATGTGCCAGTGTGAGCCCATCCCCAAGAAGGGCTGGAAGGAGGAGCTGGGGAACTCCAAGCCTGTCAGCCTGACCTGGGTGCCCGGCAAGGTTATGGAACAGATCACCTTGAGTGCTATGACAGGGCACCCATGGGATGGCCGAGGGATCAGAGCCAGCCAGCATGGATTTAGGGGTGGCAGGTCCTGCCTGACCAAAGTCTCCTTTTATGACCTGGTGACCCACCTGTGGATGCAGGAAAGGCTTTGGATGTTGTGTGCCTGGACTTCAAAGCCTTTGACACTCTCTGACAGCATTCCCTGGAAAAGCTGCAGCCCACGGCTTGGGCAGGTTCCCTCCTCACTGCGAGATTTGAGGGCTGGCTGGAGGCTGGGCCTAGAGAGTGGTGGGGATGGTGCTGCACCCAGCTGGTGTCCAGGCACTGGTGGTGTCCCCCAGGGATCTGTGCTGGGCCCAGTCCTGTTTAATATCTTCACTGATGATCTGGGGGAGGGGATCGAGTCCACCATTCACAAATTGCAGATGGCACCAAGCTGGGTGTGAGTGTGGATCTGCTGGAGGGCAGCACAAGAAGACACAGCCTTAAGCTGCACCAGGGGAGGTTCAGACTGGGCAATAGGAAGAAGTTCTTCACAGAAAGGGTGAGTGGGAACTGGAATGGGCTGGCCAGGGAGGAGGTGTTCGAGTCACTGTCCCTCCCCAGGGGAACTTAGTGGCATGGTCTGCATGACAAGGCAGTATTAAGGCATTGGTTGGACTTGATGATCCCAAAGGTCTTTTCCAGCCTATTTGATTCTGTCATTTTATGATGACTGGAGCACTCAGGGGCCATTGTGACACCGCAGGGCCTAGTGGAACTAATAGGACCATGGTGACACTGTGCAGCCCCATAGAACTAGGGGTACACTGTTGTGCTGTGAGGCCAAATGGACCCAGGGGGTGCATCATGACACTCTGGGTCCTCATGGAACCACAGAGACCATTGTGACACTGCAGGGCCTTGTGTAACCAAGGGGTTTCACTATTTTGGCACTGCAAAACCAAGGAGACCATTGGGAGACTGCAGGGCCCAGTGGACCAAGGGGACGTTGTGACACTGCAGGATCCTGTGTAACTAATGGGCCACTGTGACAGGATGGGGCCTCAAGGAATCTGGAAGAATGTTGTGACACTGTTTGGCCTTGTGGAAACAAGGAGTCCATTGTGACACTGAGGGGACTCATAGAAACACAGAGACCATGGTGACAGTGTGGGACCTCATGTGACCATGGGGCCATTGTGACACTCTGGAGCCTCATGGAAACAAGGGCCCACTGTGGAACTGCAGCACCAATGAGCACATTATGACACTGTGAAGTCTCACAGAACCAATGGGTCAACTGTCACATTTTGGGGCCCTGTGGAGCTAAGGAGACCAATGTGACAGTGCAGGGCCTGGTGTAACCAAGAGGCCGTTATGACACTGAGGGGCGCCATGGAACCAAGGACATTTTTGCAGATGACACCAAACTGGATGTGAGTGTGGATCTGCTGGAGGTCAGGAGGGGTCTGCACAGTGCCTGGGACAGGCTGGATCCAGGGCCCAAATCCAACAAGGTGAGGTTTAACAAGTCCCAGTGCCGGGTCCTGCACTTTGGCCAAAACAACCCCTGCAGCACTACAGGCTGGGGACAGAGGGGCTGCACAGCAGCCAGGCAGAGAGGGACCTGCAGGGACTGATGGACAGTAGGCTGGACATGAGGCAGCAGCGTGCCCAAGTGGGCAAGAAGGTCAATGGCTCCTGGCCTGGATCAGGAATGGTGTGGCCAGCAGGAGCAGGGCTGCTGTACTCAGCACAGATCTGTCCCCAGCTCTGCACACAGACATTGCTGCTGCAGCTCCAGAGAAGGCAACAAAAGGGCATCTCTGCAGAAAACTCTGCTGGGAGATCCTTTATTTCTATTAAAGCCACCAACAGTGCAGCTCCTATTGACACAGTCAGTGGCTCCAGGGAAGGTGGAGAAAAACAAAATGAGAAATGGCAAAACAATGCTTTTATTTTATGGACAATATTGAAAAATTAATACACAGGGGAAAAAAAGAACAAAGCCAAAAGAACTATCAAAGATTATTTATATTACAAATTATTTATATTATGAATTAATTATATTACTTGGCCTGTCTCTCCTGCAGCCCCGGCACTGCCACCCCCAGGGCTGTGCCCAGCCCCGAGAGCACTCAGGCCCTGCAGCAACACCAGGGCCACCAGGGCAGTGGGGCAGGGCCACAGCAGCAGCACTGGCAACACCAAGTGCTGCTGCTGCTGCTGGGCACAGCTGTGGGGTCAGCACTGATATGCCCCAGCTCTGCACACAGACATTGCTGATGCAGCTCCAGAGAAGGCAACAAAAGGGCATGTCTGCAGAAAAGTTTGCTGGGAGATCTTTTAGTTCATTTAAAGCCACCAAGAGCGCATCCCCTCATTGACAGAGTCTGTTGCCACAGGGAAAGTGTCATGGTTTGAGCCTGGCACAGAGCCAGTGCCCCCATGAAAATGCCCTCACCCTGGTGTCTGCTGTGAGATGTGACCAGGAATAAGCAAAACAGGCTCCAGCTTAAACATAAAGAACACTTTTTTACCTAAACTACAGGAAAATAGGGAAAAACTATAAGGAAAAGAAAAAAAATTGAAAACCTTACAAAAAATCACTTTCCTCCTCCCCACTACCTGACTTTCCCAATCCGATACATTCTCCCAAATCACCAACTGCCCAGCCTGGCACCACACTTTAGTATACTCAAACTTCAGTTCAGGAAGAGGAGAGGAGTCCTTCTTGTTCCATAGGCTTCCCCTGGAAATACACTGAAACCT